GGGCAGCTGGGGGGCGTGGCCAGGGACGTGACAGTGATCGGTGGCTGACGGTGATGTCGATGGCTATGTGATGACGGCGCGCGTCTATGCGTGTGGGGTGAACTGAATGATCAGGAAGATGGTGAGGATGACATAGCAATACGTACTTGCAGCTAGGTAAACTCGGCAAGTAATAATCAAGCTAAGAGTATAGCTTCCTATCCAAATAATTTAAGAAGCAAAATATTTCTCACTGGTACCCAAGGGCTGTTTAGCTGCCCGACCCTAAGAGCCGGAAAGCTAAACAGAGCTCTGTCCCATTTCTTTCTATTTTTGCAAAAAAATAGATGCTCTTTTTAATAAAAAAAGAAGTCAAATTTATAATTCAGAAGCTGGCTAGGTCTTTCAGGATCTGAGGGTTGTTAACTCAGCAACACAAATTAAACCCATAGCTGTGTAGACCAGGTCTGGTACCTTTGGCCACAGAACTAGAAAACGCCCCACAGGCAACAATTTCCACTAAACTCTGTGAAAACCTCGGTGAGGGCGGTGTTGCTGCTCAGATTTTGCCAGGGGCACTTGCGGTTAGAGGTGCATTTAAATTTCGAGGGACTATCTAATCTACGGGGTGGGAGACAAGGTAAAGTGCTGGGAATCTGGGAGGGTGGGGGCTGCCCAAGTGGCAACTCCAGACCGCACTTTGTGACTCAAAGGGGGCCACTCGTTTCCAGACGGAAAGCGGGCCAGGAGGCACCCCCCCACCTCCATTTCGAGAAAGGCAGTTGCGATCAATCTCAGTACATCAAGTTTGCATCCAGGATAGGCCAAAACCTGTGGATCCTGGGATGAGACTTAAGTCCTCATCAGATCCTAATTTCTCGGGTCAGGAACTGTTTTGGTTCGTACCCCTTCGTTCCTAATTCAGAGTTTTAGAGCCAGAGAGAATTTGGATGGTCTCTGCGTTCAAGCCCCTCCCTCGAGAGGAGCCGAAGTCGGGCCCTCGGGCCCGGGGTGGGGACGGGTTGCGGTGGGGGGGGGGAGCTCGCCAAGGATCACACAGCGAGTTAGTGGCAGGGCTGGGACGGGGTCCTGGCCCCCTCCCTCCCCCCAGCAGCCGACCCCGGGGCTCTCTCTCTCTCTGTCTGACACACGGCCGCTGCACTCCGCAAAATCTCAAATCAATCGGAAAGATCTAAGCGTTGCGGTTGTTGGACTTGATGTGAGTGCACGTTGGATGTGGCGTGTGAACATTAACGAACGAAAGAGATTTTTGCCTTTATCACAGTGAGTGGTCATGCGCGGCACTCGTAATGGTTTCACGAGGACCGTGGCCGAGTCCCCTCCCGGAGAGAGAGGGGCGTCGGCACCCAGCCCCGGCTCTGTTGCCTTGTTTTTTTTTGGTCTTTTTGATTTTACGTTAAGTTTAGAGTTTAGAATAACATACTTAATTTCGTTTTACTCATTTAAAGATGAAACTCGTGTTATTATTTTTCGATCATGCATTAAGAGAGAGAAAGAGGGTTCTTTTTGTCACACGGCAACACAAAGGTAATATACGGAAGCATAGCGTTCACCAGATTCGACACAGAATATAGCAAACTCCACCACAAAGATGAGAACAGACCGCATATAGTGAGCGCTGCGGGACCCCGCGAATACAGAGGGGCCGGTGGGGATGCTTAGATGTCGTCTTCGCCCGCCTCCTTGCTGAAGGTGGTCATGTCGATCTTCTCGGGGAAGATGATGTTGACGGCCAGATCCTCCCCGCTGTTGTACTGCAGGAGCACGTTCCTCTTCTTGCGAAGTACGCGGTTGTAGCGCAGGTTGGACACCCAGGCCTCGCACTTGTTGAGGAAAACGATTCCCACGGTGCCCAGCACCACCAGACTGGTCAGCACGCCCAGGACGGTGAAGCAGATGGCCTGGCCCTCGGAGAGGAGGGGAGCACTCTTGTTGAGTTCCTTCATGGACACCTTGAGGATGCGGTGCTCCGGCTGCGGCACTGGCAGCTCGTGCACCCCGGGGGTCAGGCGGTAGGTCAGCCCGTGCCCGCCGGGCAGACGGGTGACCTGCTGGGGGCCTAGCGCGCGCTTCCTGCCACAGGTGGGGCCCGTGAACTCGGGCTTGCACAGACACTCGTACCTCACCTGGGTGTGCTGCAGGCAGGTGCCCCCGTTGAGGCACGGGTCGGTGCCGCAGTTGCCCACGGGGCGGCTGCACGTCTTGTCCATGAAGCCGGCGGGGCAGCGGCAGCGGAAGTCGCCCCCGATGTCGGTGCAGATGCCTTGGTTCTCGCACGGGTTGGGGGTGCAGCTGTTGGCCACGATCTCGCAGAAATTGCCTGAGAAGCCAGGGGGGCACAGGCAGGAGGCATGGGAGGCCCGGCCCTCATCATCCACGCAGGTGCCTCCGTGCTGGCAGGGGGACCTGCGACACAACAGGGGGACACGGTAAAGGGCCCTCGGGGGCTGGCCTAGGACGGAGGTGCCCAGGGAGGCGCCGGGTGCCGCGGCCCCTGTCCGCGAGGGGCTCACGGGCCGTCCGGGGCGGACGCACGCACGCCTGGCCTGCCGAGCCGATGCCCGTCTCCTCTCCCACCTCTTAAGTCATCTCTCCGACCAGAGGCCTGGTGGTTAGTCACTGGTGGACGGGTGGGGACACTGAGGCTGAGAGAGGCAAAGTTAGTGATGACCCAGGG